GGCTTTGCAGAAAGGCCCTTCTCAGCGTCTGCTCCGGGTCGCTCTGCCTGTGGCTTGGTGTCTCTTTCCCCCATCTCAGCTCCTTGATTCCTTGCTTAATCTCTTTTATACCTTAAAAGAGATTGGCTTAGAACACACCTGAAAAAATCCAGCCTCATTTACCTAACAAAGATAACCCACTCCCCAGTGGGATTATACCACAAGCAAAAGAGTTTGAATTATACCACAAGCAAAAGAGTTTGGATTTGCAAACATAATTTTAGGAGGATCTGATTTAATCCATTACAAGGAGTAACAGAATTCTACTTAGATATGCAAGTAACTGTTATTTGAATGAGTGGCTGAGTGAACAAATGGATGAATGACCACTTTTTGAGAGATCTAGGTAGAGTATGGTCTGCCTTAAGTAACAATTGGCTGGGTCAAGTTCAGCCAATCAATTTGTGTCTCCAGACTCTCAGTGCACAGCTGAGGGCGTGGAGTCAGAAGAACCAGGGCTGGCTACTCTTCTATGAAGCTGTCTCCTCCCGTAAAGAATGACAGTCTTGGGAAGCCGCAGGGTCTGGATCAGTCGGCATCAACTCAATGGCAGTGTTTGTTTGTTTTCTGTGTTGTTAGGGAGTACTTCTGCCGAGGAAGAGGTGACATCCCTAAGCCTTCTGTCTATAGCAAGCGGACGTAGCAATGGGACCTCCTGAACGAGGCCACTATGAGGGCCCAGCAAACTCCAGTCTAGTCACATGTCCGGAGACTTTGACCTAGGCTGATCTGAACGAGTGAGAATATATAGAAGAAAGTTATTTATGCCACACCACGCACACAACTGGATACAATGCAATTTTCCCAAATTATGAACGTCAAGGACTGCGTAGTGACAAAGCCAGTGCACCGTGAAGCACTGACCACCACACAGTGGGGCTGCTTTGGCTGCTGAACAGAAACACGCCCATCCTCTGAGAGAAGGCACAACAGATGGCACAAGGTCTAGATCGCACAAGGGAGAAGCAATGCAAGGTCTGCAGAAACACACCCCATGGACAACACTGGACTCCCCCCTGAATCCGTGGGAAGCGCTTAGGATGGGCTTGACCCACTGAAAGGTAATACTAGGATGCTATCCTATGAGCTCTATGAGAAAAACCCTAGAACAAGTGCTTTCATGACAGCCAATGGGAACAATGTCAGGTTTCCCATGGACATGATGCGGGCCGCTGGCTCCTTTCAGGAAGACTAAAGTTGGAACATCTGAGTCACGGGTGCTGATGATGCCCCATAATAGGAACAACACAATTCCCCAACTCTTACCCCAAACCTAGAATTTGGTTCCCGAGAAGTATTAACTATCGCTATTGCCGTTAGGCTCTGACCCATGGGGATCCTCTGTACAACAGAATGAAACACCTCACAAGTGTGCCCATGCCTGCTGCACCCACTGTGTCATCCCTGTTGTTGAGGGCCTGCCTCTTTTTCGATGCCACTCCACTTTACTATACACATTGCAGAATCTCTCATTAAAAACAAACAAACATTACATTCCATAGTTCACTCACCTCAAGCAGTAGCGTACAACTGCCACCACAGTTAGTTTCAAAACATCTTCTTTCTCTTGAACTCCTTGATATCAGTTGCCCTTTATTCCTAGCCCCCAGGACACTTTGTTGTTGTTTTTTAATTTATTTTGCCACAGCTTACACCATCCAATATACCCATTTATGTACAATTCTGTTGTTCGCTCCCTGAGTGGGATTATACGGTCATCAGTGCTTTCAACCCCTTTCCCTACCTCCCTCACTTCCCATTCCCTCAGGGAACCATTACTCCTGTTACCACTTCTAAAAGGGTCACCTATCTTGACTTTCAAGTATCGAATGATCTTAATTATACAAATAAATGTATGCAAGTAATCTCTTTTGCTTCTATTAGCCATGTTTACAAACAACAACAACACGAAAACATCCTATGGCCATTGAGCCAACCCTGAATCATAGAGACCCTGTAAGACAGGGTAGGACTTTATATAAGGATTTGAAGGGTGTCATCTTAACAGAAGCATTGTATCCCATAATTCTCCAGTGGGCAGTTGGCAGGTTTGAACCGCTGACCTCTTGGCTAGCGGTGTGCACTTAAGCAATGTGCTCTACAGCCATATTTAGAATCCTAGTGTTTTTAACACAAAGGTGACCTCCCGTGGACGTACAGCCATCCAGCAATACTTGCTTTTCTCTTATTTCAGGACTTCCGCCCCTCCCCCACCCCCACCCCATCCCTGAAACAAAAAGTTGTCCTCCAAACCAGAAAGTCATAAACATTTGCTAATGGTACCAATGACCTCTACGAGTCATTTAGCGCATGCTCCTGTCCCATTTTAGAGATCAGGAGCCTGAGGCCCATGAGAGCAATGACTGAAGCAATCCACTCTGCAAAGCATTAATTCAAGTTAATAACTATCTCTCCCTAGAGAGAAGAGCTAATTTCCCCAAATTAATAGACTGGGTTATGCAGAGGAAATAGTCCTAAAGCACTTTATAAAAAGTGTTCTGTTTTTCCACATCGCTTCCCGTTTCAGGAACTGAATTCTGATGATAACGTTAAATATCTACCCCACAGACATGGCCACTAGCTGTGGGGAGATTAGACTAGAATGATCTAAAGAAGACCAGACCCTGGATGAAAGGGAGCCCCAGTGAGGGCATTGGGAAAAACTCTAGAGTCGTGCTGAATTATTTAGTTCTAATAAAGCCTCCTGCTACCTGGGAGCAGAACAGATGACTCACATTTCAAATGCATATAACTCTTTCAAGAGCGAAGGACCATTTACTGTCGCATCAACTCCCATTTCTACTTAAAACTGCAATTTTCTACTGCAGCAGCTGTAATACTAGGGGAGAGTCAAAGCTCGAGAGCTAAAATCCACATCTAAATTGAGCTCATCAGGACAGGTGGATGGATGGCATTCATTTCTGGGGAAAGACCACTATCACACCACCACTTGCTACCACGGAGAAGAATCTAGGCACGTGCCGCAGAAATGGATGTCAGTGATACTGTCTTTAGTCAGGAGCTCACTGCAATCTCCTCAGAGGTAACTTAAGGGAACCGCGGGCACTCTTTTCTTTTCTTTTAAAAATCATTTTATTGGGGCTCTTACAACTCTTATCACAATCCATCCATCCATCCTTTGTGTCAAGCACATTTGTACATGTGTTGCCATCATCATTCTCAAAGCATTTTCTTTCTCCTTGAGCTCTTGCTATTTTCTTCACTCCCTCCCCGCCCCCCCTCCCTCATGAAACCTTGATAATTTATAAATTATTATTTTGTCATGTCTTACATGGTCCGATGTCTCCCTTCACTCACTTTTCTGGTCGTCTGTCCCTACTCTTTTCATTGAGGGTGGCAAACAGTGAGTGGGTTAGGTGTTGTGTTGCTGACAACATCAAGGTTGGCTGTTCACACCCACCAACTGCTCCTTAAGAGAAAGACGAGGCTGTCTGGTCACAAAGAGGGGCAGTCTCAGAAACTATCAGGTCACTAGGAGTGAAAATCACTCCGTGGCAGTGTTCTGTTTTGGGTTGGTTTTGGGTTTTGCTGTGGTTTGCTTGTTTCATAAACCAACTCTTTAGCGCCCAGCCTTCTAAAAGGGAAACATGCCTTCGTTTCTAAGTTCCATGAATTATTTTCTTCTCCATCAGACTCCTCCCAATTCTCATCACATACAAGTCGGGCTGTGACGAAAATACCAAACACAGACTCAGGAATCCGTGTCTATTGGTGAGACGTTATCCTGACTAGCTGCTTCTCTGTGGCTGCCTCCCAAAATCGACTTACTCTCAGACCAATCCCTAGGACTGTGGAATGGGCACCTGAGATGGGTGTCTACCTTCTTCCTTTCCTTGGCTTTTGAGGTTTCCATCCACTGCAGGAAATGCTGAGTTTCTGTTTGTGATTTCACGTGATTCCCTCAGTCTAAATTTACTTATAAGGGCTGTCTATTACGCTTCTGCAATAGTTCCCATACAACCCTACCTAAGCCTTCGCTGCTGTACCACAGAGGCTCGACTGAAACTTGCCCGGCATGAGAGCGAAAGGCAGCCTCCAATGACACACAGGGGGAAGCTGCACGTGATGGGGCCCTGGCCGGGAATCAAACCAGGTGGCCCACATGGAAGACTTCTACCACTGAACCAGCATGGCTCTCCTTTCTCTGTGAATGCTTATGACGGAATAACTTACACAGAGGTACATGATGCCCTGAGCCAGAGGTGACGGGATGGTTCGGACTGTTGCTTTGACTGGGTCAGAAATGATCCAGCCATTAAGATGTAACAAATTGGAAACAGATTTGAATTTTTTTAAGGGAAGATGTACCAAAACAAAAGCTGGGCAGGAAAAAGGGTCCATTCAATGGCCTGGAGCAGGCATCCTCAATCTATGGCCCGTGGGCCACACGAGGCCCGCCGAGGACATTTATCCGGCCCACTGGGTGTTTTTGTCCCGTTTTGTTTTTCTACTTCAAAATAAGATATGTGCAGTGTGTATAGGAATTTCTTCATAGTTTTTTTTAACACTATAGTCCGGCCCTCCAACAGGTCTGAGGGACAGCGAACTGGTCCCTGTTTAAAAAGTTTGAGGGCCCCTGGCCTGGAATAGAGACCTAAGAGATACAGTGAGTCTTTGCAGAGCCTCGGCTGGGCAGGAGATTTGGTCCGTGTGCCTTGCGCATGCTGTCTATTTTTCTAGGACGTATGTCAGGTTTCTGTGGGATAGATCAGCATTTTCTCAACCCAGTTAGAGTGGCAGTAAACCCACGTTTTATAAATTAGCGTCCAGGCTTGTGTCACGCTATTAGGCACAACGGAACCAAGAAAAAGCCGCCCAAAGCCATGCTTTGGGCCACTTGCCTTTTCTTTATCGACCGCTGAGTCCTGGAGACCGGAGCTAGAGAATGCGAAGCAGAACATGGGCAGAGCTCTTGGCAGAGAGTAAGGAGGACTGTGTACCTGATAGAGCAGTATGTTAACAGTTTCCTCTTTTTTCTGCTCTGGAGGGCCTTGACGCTGTAGGAGATTCCGTACTGTTTCTTCCATCCTACGGGGAGAAATGAAGAGTTTCTTTAGAGCAGGCCCATGACCCTGGTCCTGCTCAACCAGCAAGAATAGTTCCTTAGTATTTCTTTGCAAAGCTTACACCACGACATCCTCCCCAACACCAACCCCCATTTTTTTTTATTTGCTTCTCTTGCTTTCATTCCCTATCTTAAGAATGTACTGTGACGCTCTTCCAAATTGTTCTTCAGGAGACTTCCGGTTCTCTCTCTCTTCACTACCAAAGGCCTCATCCGGGTCCTCCCATGTCTGCACTCATGCAAACATCTCCCAAGATCCTTCTTCACTTTCAATTGCTCCCTTTCACAAAGAATAACGTGTTCCCATGCATAGCTCTATGCGGGGGG